AGAGTAATTAAAAGAGCGGAAGTTGAAAAATTTAGATTTAATTGCCGATGCTATTTACTGCATATATTTCGTGCATAAAAACGTTATCCTAAAATCACTACGATCGCCACCAGCTGACGCTAATAGCTGGATGATCCGAGTTTTTATCCGGGCGGATAAAGCTTTCAGAATTGAATAATTTTCAGCAGAATCGCTGACAGCGATTGAAACGGGAGTAATATTAGGGTCTGTCAATCATTCACGCTTGATCGTCGGCACAAAAAGCCTCTCTAAGAAGACTTAAATGATGCACGCTGATCGATGGTTCATTCTATACATGTATATTAAAGATAGGCGACTTTCTTCTACCTCGACGCGGTCGGAGGAAGTTCGAGGAAGATCAAATGTGCTGGTCGGGTGCTATCGGATAGGCCGACAGTCAATATTGGCCGAATGGCTCCCGGTGTGTTTGGTTTGTCCTCAAATAAGAAATTCCATCACTGTGTACAACGCATGTATTGCGCTCCGAAAATATCGTGGCTGCAAATGGCAGTCTCAAAATATACAAATAAAAAATTTGCTTATTTGTAGCACCAAGAAGACGTTGGAGAAAATTTCTTGGAAAGAAAGCTTGAAAAGCTAATTGTATATGTATCTATGATAAAGATAGAGAAGACTTGTAGTAAGTAAGAGAGAGAAGAAAAAAGAAAGAGACAGAGAAAGAGAGAGAGAGAGAAAGGGAAAGATGATGGAATTGCGAGAGATACAACACAAACGAGAATGAATATGAATACGGCGAATAGAAATGAGTAATTCTGGCTTGCGAGATGCGTAGATATTTTCAGCGCTGCTGCTACACGTTATTTGAAGCGTGATTTAACTCTCTTTGTAGACGCAGCTAATGAACGTTGTTCCCCCTTGAACATAAAACCCATGCTGTTGTTGCAACAAAGATTGCAACAACTAAATTAACAAATATTTAGGATTATTTTATACACATACTCTATATATTGTCATTTAAGAGTTAGAGTTGCTCTATAAGCATATAATTTTTCATAGATATAGAGCACTCTGGCTCTTACGTGACAATGTGTATATATGTGTATATATATACACACATATATGTATGTATATATATATATATATATATACACACACACACATATATATATATGTTGACAGAGACTTATTTTTAATTATTGATTGATGTTTTTTTATTAGACATACAATGCAATATTCTGAAAATATTATTGTACTATGTAGTAAAAACGTAAAAGAAAACTAAAACTGTAAAATATTTTGATTCTTTCTATTAAGATAATTGAAAAATTTCTAAAAAAAAAATTTTTTTAAACTAAATCTCTTCAAAACATTAGGCGTCTACATATAAATGTGTTTTTATATAATTTCATATATATATATATATATATATATATATATGTATATAATTTTAAAGAATATAGAACAATCTTTACAAAAAACTCGAAGGCGTTTGATAAGAGAATTGTTAATGTCAAGAGAGGGTGATTTAATCAGAGCATACTTTGATGAGTGAAGTCAATTGAAGCGTTCAGAAGTAGTACCGAACGAAATTACTCTGATGGCGCGCAATAACTCGGGAATACGACTATTACGTGCTAAAAGAGAGCACATCGTGGTTAATACATTACTTTATCGCAACGTATTCGTCTAAAAAAAAAAACGTCTGAGCGTGTTAGAAAACACAAATAAATGCAAACGGGTACGTAAAAGAAGTGAAAAAAGTAATATCTTCGTGTAAGAATCTCGAACGATTTTCTAAAACATCTCTAAATTTGTTCAACATTTTTGAGACTTTTCTCCGAAGAAACGTGACAAAAGTTTTTCCTTAGTAAAGCAATTTATATGTTTATTCGAACGTTATCTCTCCAATACAACAATTGTTGCAAGGGACAAAGTGAGCGAAGTGTGTACGCAGGTGTTCACAAAGCTGGAAGATAGCAGCAATGGTCTCTCTCTCTCACACACACACACATACCACACAAGAGAAAATCCAAAGCTAGGCGAAATTGTGACGGAAATCGCCAAGAAAGTAGCTTGAGACATAAGCTAAAGACGAAAAGTATAAAAAAGAAAAAGTAAAAGAAAGTAACGAAGGAAACAAAAAAGAAAGAAGAGGGTTAGCAATTCGTTGCGGAGAAAAGAAGAGAGATAGCCAGACGGAGCTCTAACAAGTGGCTGCAGCTCGTAACGATCGCCCTCTATGCCATGCACCAGCTAAGCCACTCTCGTATACTGCACGCCCTCCTAACCCAAGAGGGTTAACCAACACGCACGTGCACGCGTGCGCACGTATGCACGTACACCCTTGTCGCACCGTCAGAAATATCGATATAAACACAACACGAAGGTCGACCACGAGCGACGATCGGCAGCTCTCTTTTCCTCTCGAAATAACCTCCGTAATTTTTTTTTTTTTTTTTTCGTCTTTCTTTTTATTTTACACACACATCTTGCCGCCGCACTATATTAGCAATAATAATAATTATTGCATCGCACAAATCGGATCGATTATGTACGTACGAAACTCCGTCCGATTCTCTATTGTATAACAGAACAAGCACCTTCGTTCACTCTGTTCTTCTTAAACGTTTTTTTTAGCGGAATTATTGCGATGTCTTTAAGCTAGTTGGCTGGAAATTGGAGTGGTGTGCCGGATCGGCGATTGTTAAATTAAGTGGAACTCCGAGGGAAACGAAAAGAGGATCTTCACTCGAACCGCCTCGACCTTACCTCCGCCGTTTCGTTTATTTTCTCTTCGTCTCGGGGTATAACGATTTCTACGGATAGATCGAGCCTCGTTGGTGTGTTTTACGTGCGCGAAACGTAATCCTCTGCCGGAAACGACGGCAGGAATCGGCGCCCGTGTAATCCCTTTTTTTAGATCGGCTTTGGCGGCTCGGCAAAAGAGAGCTGTGAATTAGATCAACCTTTTATCCTCCGTTTTATTTAACGAGATTAACCGCGGAATAGGATGCGGTTGTTTAAGCTCCCTATTTCTAGAAGTCTCATCAATATTGGAAGGATACATTAGTTATCAGAAGTATCTCGTAGTCTTCCACATCGCAAACTTTTTTTTTTCAAGAAATTTATATTTTTTCTTTTATCACACACTATCTGGCACATTTTGTATCACTCTTAATTTTTTTTTATATATAATCGATATAATTTATAACATATCATACTTGTAGCAAAATTTGAATCTGACATTTAATAAGTGAGTTAATTTTAGCAGTTTAATGATAATTTACTGTAATGAATGCCACGTATCGGATAATGAAACGTGTTCCAATATATAGTGTGAGAAGTGAAACGTCATTTAATTACATATTCATAATTTCAACGTTTGTGTCGATTATTCGTGTATGTTAACGTGCATATATATATATATATATATATATATATATATATATATATATATATATATACATGTAATATACATATATATAGACACATTATATGTGACACAGTATATGTAAGTGCAATCTACTGCATGCGGCAGTGCATTGTGCATTCATAGACGCCTCCGTTCGAAAGATATATCGCATTTATTCCAGCGATGTTAATAAATTCCGAGAGAATTCCCGAAATTAATGCGAAAATCTCTTCATAAATAATATTACGAGTACGAGATAGATTTGGTGGTTTTCTTCACGACACTGGAAATGTGTTTAAANAATAANANAAAAAAAAAAAAAAAAAAANAAAANANAAAAAAAACGAGGCAAGGAACTTTCGAGCTTTAACTTCGCATGTTGTGCATTCTTTTCACATAAATTTCCCCGATCATGCCGCGGAAACCGTGCGGAGCAGTCGTTCGGAGGCCTTTGACCCGTGACCGATCCATGTATGCGGCTCACGCGCGTGCATCGCGCACGTGCCGGTGATTATGCAACGAGGGTGCAGCGTAAATTCGACGTAATTCCACGAAAATGCCGGTGTGTGTCGGCGCCAACAAGCGTGAGCGTGTCATAAGTGCTGAAGTGAGCAACGCGGAAGAAAAAGAGAAGTGCGGAATGTGCAAGACGAGAAGGGTTGAGGAGGGAGAAAGAAAGAAGGAGAGCTACAAAGACGGTGGGGGTCGAAAATATTCGCTCTTCGTGACGCTTATATCTCGCGACAAGCCGCAACGTATCAGATATTTAAGCACGTCAAAAATGTCAAATTTGGCGAAATAACATTCTCAAGATAGCTTTGCTGGGATTGAAGTAGATGTCTCGTCGTGAGAAAACGGCATGTGCGCTCGGAAATACAGGATGATCCGCGAAAATACCACGTTGAGCACGCGGTCGGAGCAAAAGCGTGGGAATTGCGCTATTTCTAGTTTTGGAGTTGGCGTAAGAGCGAATTGTAAAATGCCGCCGTGTCACCGTCTCGGAGTTCTCTCGATCTCGCTTTTTCATCTTGGTGATACGCCGTCTCTCTCTCTCTCTCTCTTTCTCTCGCCGGTACGGTGCACGCGCACTCAGTTCTCCCATCTCGCTTCAACGTCTCTTGTCGCTCCTCGTCGCGACGCCGTGCGTTTCGACGTCGCACATACACGCGCGCATCGTCTCGTGCTCGTTCGCTCGATCTACACGCGCATCGAAACACGTTCGCACGCGTGATTGGAGTTGCGAGAGATAAGCACGCGAGAGTAATTCCAAGAGTTGAGAAATTATTTCGAACCTGTTAGAGAACAAACGCGAGATGCAACGTGTGTGCCGGGTGTATGTACAAAGCGAATGTACGAGCGAGAGAAAGAGAGAAAAATATATATGTGTGTGTGCGTATATATATATATATAGAGAGAGAGAGACAGAGAGAGAGAGAGATGTGCGGTGGAGGAAAGAGGGATGATCAGCGAGTAAAAGAGAGAGAGAAAGAGAAAGAATGAGAAAGAGGGATACAGACAGACAGAGACAGAAGGGAAAGAGACGGCGCGCTGCCGGTGCGAATGAAAACTCGGATCGCTGCATTTTCACGCGGAAAACACGTCTTACCTGTTTCACTAGTGGGAGTAGTGTCTGTTCTATGCTACGGGTCTTAATCTCTAGGGTGGCTGGGTCTACGGGGTCGGGTGTCGCCATGATTCGAGCACAACTCCGTGCTCCGTAGACTCGAGCCGAGGCGAGAGGGTTCGTTGCACCCCCCCAACCTCCGCCCGCGTGCCCGGCACGACTGCCACCCTCGCCCCCGCTTGCGCCGCTGATGGCCACCGGATGCCCTTCTCCCTATGGCACCAACCAATGGTCGAGCCGCGTGCCCGAACCGGCTGTGACGAGGGCGACGTCGCGCGACGACGACGGCGACGCCGACGCAACTACCGCCGCCGGCGCCGGACGCCGGGGCGCCGGGCGTCGAGTCGCCGAAGCTCCTGGCCATCTCGTGGTATCTTGCGCAACGCTCTCCGCCGACGTCGGCGTTGACGGCCGCCAGTAAATGTGAAAAGTTGCGAGAGAAAGAGAGAGAGAGTTGTGTGTGCGGGATACTTTTCAGCGAGAAACAAACGAGAAGAATAAATATATAAAATCTTATGATGATAATGCACGATAATGTGTGTATGCGCACGTAAAGTGCCATGATGTTTAATATTTAACGTTCGAATAAAATCTTACTTATAGATCTTTGTATCAAAAGAAATGGATTGCAACAGCTTAACAGATAGATTAAAAAAAACAAATAAAAAACTCACCGACAAAATAACAATTGATCGAAAAATGTCTAAAATGTGTACCTTGTTAAGATAAATTTTGTACAAGAGGATATATACATATATATACATATATAATGTACGGATACACAAAAGGAAAAAAAAGGGGAAAATAAGTAAACGAATTATCACTGATATAATCTTTACTTTGGGTATAAGTAGATTATTTCAAAAATCGATTTCTTTATTATCAAACAGAACAACTAATGTGAACTTGACATTCCACTGAAGTTCACAATTGTAACGAATTACATATTCCACAAACGCGAAAGTGTTTACTAATAAAATAGGTTTTCATCAATTTTTTTAATTTATTTGTTTTTAAGGATATAGACGCTTATGATTTTAATAAAGCTAATCATGACTAGTTCTAGACGCGCTCTACTTTCGCGTATTTTTATAATAAATAACAGGGTAAAAGTTGACGCGCGCGTGCGCGCGGCGATGTAACACGATAAAACTGTGGTGATTATTTCATATAAGGATATAATGCAGAACGAAGAGTCAATATTTTTGATGAAATCAATCTCCCATCGCCGAAATATTTCATTCTGTAACATGTAAAATCTGAAAATACGATTTTATCTGCATTACGCATATATACTGTATCACATTTGTAAACAATTATTTATATAACAGCATAAAACTCTCAACAATTATTTCTTTTTCAGTTAATGGCCATGTAATAATAGAAAATTTATCTTACATATATGCACCGAGAAAAAAGATCAAGAAAATGTTATTTAATCCAGTTACACGTGGCGATCGAAAATTATCAACCAAATATTTGTTAATCCAAATTTAAAGAAATATCACACTCTATTAATTAATTCTGATAGGCTTGAAGTAAAAGCAACTTCAAGTAACAATTGACTGCGAATTAAATATATTAAATAATAATATATTAAATATATATATTTTTTTATCTGGCATCGTAATCTTTTTTCTCAGTGACATATTGCAAAACAAATTAACAAATAACTTGTCAATACTTTACAACAATAACCCACGTTATGAACATTACGTATCGAAGTAAAATCTCATTCTTTTTGTGAGGTCAAAAAAATATTGAGGAAATATTTCTACCGAATAATACTAAGTATGTGACACATCACTTTTTTCCATTGGCTAGTTTGCTTTGGGTCGGTGCCAACGGCGCTCTTCTCTTAACGTGTTTCTCTGGAACTTTGTCCTTTGGCAGTGGCACTCCGTTAGAAACGATTCCGCCTTTTCTCTTCCTCAGGGACTCCGTCGGGAGATATCCGGTCGGTCTTAGCAGCTGCCTGAAATTGTAAGGACCGTTAATATCCTCCGCGTCGCGCTCGACCTTGGCGTTCTCCTGACGCTTTTCGATCACTGTCGGCCTTAGAAGCTGCCTGAGGTTAGCCGCTATATTGTACGTGTCCTTTCGGAGTTCTTCCTGATCCGGCGATTTTCCGTTTGCTAATCGATTGATACCGTTTTTGTGGTTCACGTTATTTTGACAATTCTTCATTCGGTAATCATTGTGTTTATAATTCGATCGATCCGACAATCTTTCGGGTTTGTTATGCGTCGAACCGTTAGTTAATTCGGACTGATCGGTGTTCACAATCTTCATTTGATTCTTTGCTACGTCATTATTTACGTTGTAGAAGATTTGATGGTTGCTGTAACCATTGACCGAGTGCTCATTGACGGAATTCTGATGACCGTTAACGAGATTCTGCCCATTAACGGCGCTCTGCCGTTCGTTTACGACGTTGTGTCGATCGTCGATTGCGAATCGTAAGCCAGATGGATCGTGGATATGCGGAGTACCGGTGGCACGTTGTACTGCGGCGCGTGATTGCAGGTCGTTGCTATACACGTCATTAATCCTTGTACTGAAAAAACATGTCGGTTTTTTTTCTCAAATTTGTTCTCTGAGAAGAACTTTAATGAATTTTGTAAATAACAGCGAATAAAAACCTCACTACATCGTGACTTCGAGCTTCGCACGCAGACAAAAAATATACAAATGAAAATTAAGATGTATGATGCACGAATTGTGTTTTTTTTTATTTTTTTTTTTTTTATTATTATTATTGCCTAGTCTAAATGTAATAAGCACTTTGATATTAAATAATGCGTAAATTTCTACGCGAGGAATAACATGAATCGAAACTGTATCTGGCAGCGACGTATATATTTATGACTTTACCTGGAAATTTGCCATTATGCCTCTGGCAATGCGAAATAACACACACACAAATGCGAAATTAGTCCTCGGCATACACGTTTGTTCGAATATAATTTGACGCTAAGTAGTATTGGTTGGTACGTATTACAGTTTCGCGCCATTCATTTACGTTTATATATGGCACGATACTTACCTCATATTTTTCTTCGAGTCTTCGTTTTGTTGCGAGTCGGACGGTTGTTTCAGAGCCTTGTGCCAAATGTCTGACAAATGTTGTTCCGGCGCTACGGTAAAATCGCTGTGGGCCACACGATCCCTCCTCTCGGCACTCACTTCCAGAATGTGACCGCTCCGATTCCTACATACATGCGAACAAATTATCTCGTTACGTTGATGGAAAAGTGAAGTTTACAACACAGCGTGCACATACACATCGATCGTATACAATATTTGACGGCTGTGAGAATATATTCGAAAATAAACGCAAATAAAAAAAGGCGAGAAGAATTGACAAAAAAACAGATTAAAGCGGTCAAACAAATATATCCGGCAAATCTACAATTTATAGCTCGGAGTGTATTTTTCCGGTATCCTCCTTGTTTTCTCTGCGATACATAAAATGATGATGAATACTAGCATTAAAGCAAATTGATACAAAGATACAGAGATCGGGCCGGATATACCTCGACGATGATGGATGAAGGTCATTTTCTCGCCGTGTCAACGGTGAGTCCCAGCCAACTTCGTCTTCTTCGAATTCCGAACCACTTGCGATGCGAGTGCCAGAAGCATTTGAAAATTGTAATTTAAATTTCCAGTTTCGTTTTGCGAAACACGTGAATCGAAGCGCAACACGAACGATATTTTTTTTTCTCGATTTATATATATATCTGTACCTGCTCATCTCTTCCTTGAGATCCCGGTAATACTTGACGCTGTCGTCCTCTTCCAGTTGCTTGCCGCTGCGATACTGCAGCACCGGCTGCACCATGTTGAATCCTTCCGGACGAACGTAATCGGGTGGCGGATCCTCGATATCGTTCAGTCTTATTCCGGGCTTATTACGACGCAGAATCTTGTGCACTTCCTGGTTCTTCATGTGAACCTATCGCGACAGAAAAGTACAGTCGCAACTAATTTGATAATAATAATTCAATTGAATCAACTTGCGCTTGATAAGAAATGAACGTTTAATACAATTTTGTATAATATCAAGGAAAAAGAAGAGATTGTAATTAAGTTCGAGTTTTAAACACGATAAAATTTCTGCTTGATTCAGAATCAGGATTCTGAAGTTCTTGATTACATTTTGAGAAAACTGGATTAGATCCGCTTGCCGCAATTTGGGATGTACAGGATCTCTCGGAGGCGGTTTCTTGCGGACTGCTTTTTCCTCTTTTTTATACCATCTTTGAACGATAAAGGCCGCGTCCTCGTGCTTCAGTCCCTCGCGTAACAATGCCTTGAGACCGTCGTGTATGTTGTCGTAATTGTTCAGAATTCTCTTGAAACGCTCCTCCAGTTCGTATCCGAATCGTTTGCGAATGGTGTAACCTCGGAAGTCTGTGCAATTAAAAAATTTAATTGCACGCAATTATATATATACACAGTTGCGTGTATACGCGATTGTTATTGAAATTACACGCGAGCGACAGATTGCAGATTTTTATTGTACTTACGACTTTGTATGACGGTCGCGGCGACATTCTTTTCCAAGTTTTTACGCGGTCGACGCTGTTTTTCGCGATTATTTACATCCGCGTGTTCCTGTAACTTGCGAGTCGTTTCTTCTACAACAAAAACAAATAATGTAAAACAAAGATAAACAATCGTGTCGCGAGTTGTTCGAGAAATTTACGAGAGAATTTAACTCACGCGGTAGTGGCAAATCGGTCGTCGTAGTTTTTTCTTGCGCGCGTTTTTGGGCCAACATCGTTTCCGTATTTTTCCGAGCTAACCATCCTCGGATATGGCGCTGCAATGTGACCACGGATACCGCGAACTGCCATTTTTGTTTTCTGAATCGCATCTTCGCGAGCCATCGTCGAACGCACGCTTGAACCATAACGATCTTTTTCAACTGGTCCTCGTACAATTTCGAGAGGAATTCTACGTGGTAGTACTTGAGGAAGACCTTCGTCTTGCCTAATGCCCATCCGTCCATCTTTAAACGTACCAAGAGAAGCCGACAGTTGTCTCGAGTGGCAACCACGCGCTCGTCGTACCCGAAAGCAAGGAAGCAATATCTAAAAAAATTGTTTTTACAGACAAAGTTGATATAAAAATTGCGTACAAAAGATACCATCCAAGTATTTTGTTCGCAATTATTTACGCAACTCCGAAGTACCTTTTGAGAAATTCGTTGAATGGTATTCTATGGGAAAATCCGTTTTGTCTTATACGTATCGTTTCGAGAACACCGGTATATCTCAATTGCTTGATAACCTTCTCTTTGTCGAAGAATCGCGGACTCCTCGAATCGTTTGGTTTTATGCACCGAACGAACTGAGGCGAACCAGACACCATTTTTTGCAACAGATCCATCAGGGAATAACGGAAGTACGTCGCGACTGTCTGTTGAGCTCTGGATTGCGATGCCAAGCCTCGACTAGAATAACGTTCCTATGCACGAAACATTAATGTAACAATGCGCGTTGTGAAATTCTGTTTCTTGTAAAACAAAATTGTGAAAAATACACGCAGGGTGTAAGCGCGCAATACCTTTGTGTCTTGATTCGATTGTAATCTTCTCGAATCGTTCTCCTGTAGCGCCGAGTACAGATTACCGGTTTTCGTGATCGGACATTGGAACAGGAAACGAACCATGTCGTACTGCGATTGTCGTACCAGTTGAATGACTTCGGGCGGTAGGAAGTTCCTGTTTTTCTCGAGGAATCCCTCGGCTTGATAGACAACGCGACCGGCGAAATGATGAATCGCGAAACAGACCGCGTCCGATTTCGGCCGTACGTAGAACTTTGATTTGATGTTGTTGTGGAACTTTTCTGCGAGTGAAATTGCAAAGCAAAGGTGAAAAAACACAATTCGTCAAGATTCCGTTATTGAGAGAATTAAAAAGAAAAAAATTAGAGCTTTGAAATATCTCTTGAGACATTTTCTATTTGGAAGAGAAAGCAAAATATCAGAGTTACAGAGACATCGCGAAGCGCGTAAATTGGCGCGTTTTACGAAATAACGCATCTAAAATATTCACCAATCAGGGATCGATTGGTCGCTCTGGGAAATCGACTCTCCTCGTCGAGAAGCGCGAGCAGTCCCATGGGCTTGCTGAGCAGCATGTCGAGAACCGGCCTGTTGTCGGAAAACTCGACGAGGTCCACCGGTATTCCCTCGGCCATGTACTCCTGTTGCTCCCACGTGAAGATGTGCTGGTTGAAGTAGTACTGTATCTGCTCGTTGGCTATGTTGATGCAGAGTTGCTCGAACGAGTTTCTGGGAAAGTTCTCGAAGCCGAAGATGTCGAGCAGTCCGATCGCCAGCGGCTCATAATTTGGCGAGCGATTGAAACACAGCAAACAATTGATCTGGTTGACCATCCAATCGAACAGCCGGCCGTAGAGACCCTTGGCCATAGCGTCGCGAGCCGCACGGGCCTCGGCCACCGTATTGTTTCGAGTAATTGTCTCGCCTCTGGTCATTACCGAGTTTGATGTCAGAGCTTCCAAGAGATCGTTTTGCTCGACGCCGAGTAGTTTCGAGACTGAAAGTGAAGTGTGCAATTTTATTGCGGCACGTTTTTCTCTACGGTTAATTATCGCAATATATTTGCAATCAAAACGATATTTTAGACAAGAGGATTCTTATTTTTTTTTTTTTTTTACCTCTATGCAACGGAATAGTGTCGACTAATCTGCTCTTATTGTCGGTGTTGTCTTCCGTAGCCACTTCGGCAAATTCAATGTCGCCCAGATGGAGTATAGCGGCTAAAACTCGATACACCGTGTCTACCTCGCTGTCTTGAAATCCGAGCACCTTGAACCCCATCTTGAGCTGCTGGAACTTGTCGATGTGCGTCTGCGACGTGTGACTGTAATGCGTGAGATATCGATGACATCTTCGAAGCTCGGGATCGAGATAAAATTCCGAGAGACGATTGTCCGCTTCCAAGCCGTCGTACATGTAATAGAAGATGTGGAAGTTCCGCTCACCTCTGACAAAATATTACACGTGTTATTTTTCTCCGACGATCGATTCGTTGCACGAGAGCTGCAGAACATAATTTACGTGTGTACAAGACTTCATTTCGAAAACTTACTCAGCCTGAGCTATCACTCGAGACTGTTCCAACAGGTATACCGAGATTCGCGCGCCGGTCACTTTTCCGCCCTTCGTCATCGTCAGGTCCAGATATTTTCCGAATCTGGACGAATTTGCATTGATACCGGTTGTGGCGTTGCCGAAAGCCTCCATTATAGGATTTATCTGAAGTATTCTCTCCTCGAGATTGCGATTCGGCGCTTTGCTCAGATACACGAGCTGTTTTAAAAGCAGATTCGCGCTCTCCGTTTTCCCGGCGCCCGATTCACCGCTAATTACTATCGCTTGGTTTTGACGTTGATGAAGAAGCGCTTGATACGCCGCGTCGGCAACTGCGAATATATGCGGAGGATTGTCCGATCTCGCCTGACCTTTATATCGTTTTTGTTCCTAAAAACAAAGCGTAAATATCATTGCGACATATTAATTATTTAGTTCTGATCGTTTGTATATAAACGCGGAGATACTTACAATACCAGTGTATAAACCAAGATTGGTAAAGGGATTAACGGCAACTAATATATCTCCGATGTACGTGTATATCTGCGCCTGCTCGTATCGATGCTGCAATTGATCGACAATAGCCTCTTCCGATAGCATGTCGAGAGCCGCCAGATCGTCCATGTACATCTTCTCCGGTCTAGTTTTGCGGTCAGTCTTCAATTTGCCGTGCTTCGTCGTTATCTCCGGTTGCCGGTGTACACGACCCTCCGCTCTCTGCCTACAAATCTCTTGGCGTAGTTGATCCCTGATCTTCCCGACGATCGGCTCCACGTTCATCAACAGTGGATGTTCCTTCAATTCGCTTGCAAACGGCCGATGCTCGAGATCCTTCACCAGGCATTCGGCTATAAAGTCCAACAACTCCGGCGTATGTATGTCTGGATTTTTCAGGGACGGCGGAGGGTTTCTCGGGATTTGAAAGAGCGCCCGCATAGGATGCAGATCCGACAGGGGCGGATCGCCCTCTGCTAATTCGATAGCGGTGATACCGATCGACCAAACGTCGCAGCGCGAATCGTACGAGGAGTCCAATTGTTGCTCGCAAGCTATCACCTACGGTGAAATTCAGATTGATCGAGGGGCGCGATTTATTTACATTTGCAATTTGCAAAAATCGCAAAATTTTTCGCATCGTTCGCTTTTGTACTCGTTTTGATTACTTGTTGTTGTACAAGTTTCGCTTCTAAAAAGTAAACGAACCGTTCAACGTAAACTTACTTCTGGTGCCATCCAATATGGCGTTCCGACAGATGTGTTTTTCCTGGCAAGCGTCTCGGCCAGATGCGAAGACACGCCAAAATCGACCAATTTGACGCGCGCTTCCTCAGTGAGCAGAATGTTGTGACCTTTCACGTCACGATGCATGCAATGATTACTGTGCAAAAAGATCAGCGCTTCGACGGTCTCCTTTAAGATGTAAGCTATTTGGTCGTCCGTTAGGCGACTGCCGCGTTTTTTGAGACCTTGAACCAGATCGGTCACGGAACCTCCGGTGCACAACTGGAACCGAAACAATTAACATTTTACACACCTCGATTCCGTTCCTTCTCCCGAAAATAATATGATTTGCAAAGAAGAAGAGCCGCGGAGGAAAACTTTGTAGCTTTTCAAACATTTATATTAGAAAGTGTTTTAATTAACTGATTTGTTTTCGAGTTTTTGTAGTTTCTCTTCTATCGAAAAAGTCATCACATGGATTCTTTTGTGAAAGTTTTAATAACGATACCTCCATCACGAACCACAATTGATCCTCCTCCTGACCAGGTTTGGCGCGCTTCAGAAACAAACCGTGAAAAATAGGAATATTCGGATGCAGACTCAGATCTCTCAGCACCAGATATTCCTCCTCAATCTCCTCGATATTATCAGCGACGTTTTCCAGTATCTTGATGGCCACCTTGTTGCCGGTCTCTTTGTCGTAAGCGGCGTACACTTCGCCGTACGTACCCTCGCCGATCATTTCTTCCAGTCGAAAACGCTCCCCGGGATCCGGTATCACGTCAAAATTGACGTGTTGACTGAGGCCGTGATACGCCATGTTGGTCCCACCTCCGGTCATTTCTGTACAGCAAATTGTTAAACACAGTTCTGTTAAACAAACAATCGTGTCGGACAGAAAATAATTTTGTTACTGAGACTAAGAAAAAAAAATTGTAAACGTCTAACGTTTGACTACGTCAATTCAATTTTTATTTTCTTCGCGAACGTCGACAATTTCTAAAACATATATAATGTTAAAAAATATTATTATCTCAATTTGTTTCTTTCTCTCTCGAAGATTTGACAAAAATATTGATGAATAGAACCTTGATGAATAGAAGACGTATCGAGAAGTGTTGTTAGTTCGAAGAGCAATATACTACTGGAAGCTCTTTTTTCCACCTTGATACTGTTAACTACTTAATAGTATTAGGCTCACAGAGACCGGCGCACTTCGTCTCAGAAAAATAGGTCTGCGCTACCTAAGAAAAATATACTCTGTTCAATTTGATCCTTTCTTCGCGTAATTGTTTTCGTTATTGAAACATTAATTGTGACAGAGGAGAATTTTATTGAAAAAGTGCCACAAAAATCATTTTTTTAACATAGATAAAGATTACTAAGAACGTTCAATTTTATTGCGTATGCATTAATGTTTATTCACGTTGAGCTTTATGATAAAATATCTTTAGCGGTATGTAATCGTATAAAAGACACTAATGAGAAAATATCTTATCTCGATATGTTTGCGATGAAAAATGCGATATATATGCGTAGATACTTTTATATTAATAGAAAGTATACCGCGCGCGTACAAATCTCGTCTGAAATAAATAGAATTACAACGTGTTTTTACTGCGCGCGCGTATCTTATCTGAGGAATTCGAGGTTTGCTTTATAAATGAATCTCACTTTGTTTTTAACAACAACAACAACATTCATGTTGACTTTAATTATGGAAGTCCTACCCAATTGAGAGAGTGAGAGAGAGAAGCCATGCAAAAGATCGGAGACTAGCTGTGGCTTCGAAACGACATTTTGTTGTTCCAAATTGGATACGCACGCGACTACTGCAAATGGCAAATATATACAAAGTAAACCGACCTTGAGATATGTCTGTTTTCGCAAAATGTTGTAGTTTCGAGTCAAGACAAATTGCTTATGCGACGTTTCGTGTGACAATGTGATAAGTCGAAACACGTATTTTCAGATATGATGTGCTCACGTATCTCGCTGCAAGGAACCGTTTTTACTCGATGTTCGTTCGTGCATATCGGCGAAAGGATTTCTCTCGCGATGCTTCGTAGCCCCGTCTTACTAATTTTCGACGCGCTTAATTTCACTAGGTATGTAGATTGTAGTCTCTCGTAGCGTGACTGACAAGAATGCGCCTTAATTAAACATAAAACATTGTACGTTAAACCGCGTTTCTATTGCAATTCTTAGCATTAATGAGAATCGTAAATGATCGGCGATGAGCGATCGGCTGAGTGATCGATTAGACCGAGCATTAATTGCAAGAGTAAACGATCGAAAAGTCGGGATAAAAACTTCACATTTCAACGATAATTAAGATCGTGATCGTGCATTCCTTTTCTTAATTCTCTTTTGAAACGTGCAAAATTTATACGCGTTAATTATACGCGCGCATAATTATATCCACTGCGTAAATAAAATGGCGGGAATAGTGTCAAAGGAGCTTTTATTAATTGTTTGCACGTGCGGCAGTCCGCACATGTAATTATAATGATTACCGTGGAATTATCCTGTTAAATTACCAGCTTGTACGTAACGTAAACACACAAACACACACACGCACGCAACAACGGTTTACACGCAAAAGTTGACTTTTGTGGAAATTCCACCTCTTGTGTTTAAACATTTGTGTGTGCGTGTATCTCTAAAGATTCACGTATAAATAATCCAGTAAATCCAGTAATCTTAGACACTCATGTCTGATGGCATGAGCGCCTTCCTTGTTTTTCTCAAAGAATAAGAAATAATGAAACAATATTTAAAAAAAAAACAAAAAAACAAGTAAAATTTATTTGGTTCAGTGTTGCTTCTCGTTTATTATTATGATCAGTCACAGTTGTGTTTCGAGCGATGCTCATTTGTGCGACGTGTTTCTTCATCCATCTATTTCACAGATCGATACCCTCAGCTGCGGACATTTTACTGCAATTTCTACGAAGGCATTGTCTTTGGCGATCGTCGAAAGGATAGTCATCGCGTTCGAGGATCGCGTCCACGAAAACATTTCACTGCGAAAAAGACCGTGATGCGAGCGCGTTTCGATCTCACGGTTCGATACCTTCGAAGGTATCAATTGCTCGGATTGCAATAACCAATCGCCAGTATCCTCGATCACGTGCCGACCAGATGTATCAGAGCGAAGAAACCCGTCGTGAAATCGGCTTAAGGGTTCAGCTGCAAAGTAACGTCCTCTTGCCTTGGACAATACTTGGCAGAACGAAACTAACCAAACGTGATGCCTAAGCCACAACTGTAACGGCTTCTTATGACCCGTTCGTGCGGAGAACTTTTATCGATTGTTAAAGAGGAAAGTCACACTTTCCTCTTCAACTTATATAATAATAACACAACTGTATTATATGTCTCTCTCGAATCTAGGTGGATAAATGGGAGATCTGTATAGGTGGATAAATGGGAGATCTGTGTGAAATAAAAAATTGAATTTCCGACAATAAAGATGACGGTTTTCGAAGAATTGGTGCTGCAGTTGACAAGAGTGTTGCTCGGGCAAGAAGTCGTTTCTACATTGTCGCAATTTAACGTGGAACGGTGAGTCCGCGAGTGGAAAAGCGTAACAGTCCTTTATTACGGCGTTCAGGCGACCATCGGCGGTATAATTATCGTGTCTCCGGGAAGACACATTGGGAAAACAATGTGTCGGCTTGCATCTGTCGTCGATGGAATGATTACTCGCGAAAGCAAAGAACGGGGATAACTTTCCATTTTTATATCGCGCGTTCTTTACGTGTAGCGATTACTTCCTTTTTGTCCGATTCTTTTTTTTTTCTAGTAGAAGTTGTTGGTTGTGTTTCAGACTTGCGATCGCGATATCTGTAACGAGGACATTTCATCGATCGTCAAAATCCAGTTCGGCGAGTTTTGCGTTGCGTATTTTTATCTTGCGACCACTCTTGATACGATCGACAGATATTACGGATTCGAATTTATAAATAATAAGAAGTTCGATGAGAAGTTAAAACAGCGAGAAAGAGAGAAAAAGAAAAGAGAGAGAGAGAGAGAGAGAGAGAGAGAGAGAGAACGCGCGTTAAGTACATTTCAACAATTAAGTATTCGTATTTCCGCTTTCATGATCGTCTTATTCATGCCTCGCCGATAAATCGCTCGGTCGACGTAGCTCGCGGAGAAAGACTCGCGCGAAGAAAAAACACGTGACGAGAAGAAGCAAAAAAGAGATATGCGAATTGTTACTCACGCGCCGTGATGAATTTCTGCGGTTTGCGTTTAACGCGGTCGTATGTCAAACTGTTCGGAGCGCGCAAAAGGACGCGGGCGGCTTTTCCCGATTGTACATACATACGTTACGCAGCCGCGGTTCCGCTGGTTTAATCTTTTCAGCGTGACGACGTAACGGTACAGTGCGTGCCATCAATGACTACACGGCGCTCCCGTGCGTAATGTTCTCTACGCGCTGTGCGGGATCACGTACATGCGAATTTCGCCGAAACAAACGCGCGCACATGTGCTAACGTTAATTTGCACCAAACGAAATAAAAAAACGCAATTATGGAAATCGCGATTGGCGTGGCGCGGCATAAGCACGTTCGCCAAAAGTGTGTCGGCGGCGTTCGCGTATATCGTTTTGTTCAGTCAAAGAAAAGATTCGTATCGGATTTGTTTACGCTATGTACAAATAAACAATTACACATTCAACAAGACTGTAAACATGTTTTTTTAGGCGATACTTATAGAAAGTAATAAGCAGACGATACAGTCATGCAAAAAGTTTCTGGTCAGGCGACCGGGCTTTCAGCTTTCGATTCGATGAGTTATCGTTGCGAGACGCGAGAAACTCGATCGTTATTTGGTCGCGGGTTATTGCAATTTCTACGAGTATTTGTGGCTGCGAACGGCAGGGTCGAACATTTCACGTCGGTTCTTCTTCGAGTATTCGCTCCGTTAGAGACTAAAAGAATCGCAGCTTCTTTTTATTTTTCTTTCTGTGTAGAAATTGGACTGCTTGCTTGGAATATCTTGCAGTATCTTTACCAAACGAGCCGTCGCCGGGAAAATCTTCCACTAAAGGAGGTGAACGGTATATAAAGATAGATGAGCGCGCGGTTTCTTTTAACGATCGAAATTTTCAAACGAACCACGAAGGAACCGCTCTATTAACTATGCGTCCGTTCATTGTCTCGCGCGACGAAGAAAATCCGAGAAACTTTAGGCGTCCGTTCGTCGCTAACGCGATGAGATGTTTGAGACTAGAGTGCGAGATTTTTTTTTTTTTGCGCCGCGAAGGATGAGTCAAGTGATACACAGAGTGTGTATACATACATACGTGGTGTACGTACATAGCAAACGGTGGAAACACAATTGCGCCGCTTTTTCAATAAGGCGAAACACGATGCATGTAACCCGAGCCGCTTTGTATGCAAATAAAGCGGGCGGTATTTGCGACACAAAGCTGCGCAGCAGCCTAAATATAGAAATCTCACCTGAAAGGAAGAGCCACGCAACATCAAGATATATACACGAAAGTATAATCGTCATTTAACTGCTTCGCTGAGCGGCTGCCATGCCGTATATACCGGAGAACGGAATTGAGAAAAGAACGTGTCCGTGAAAAAAAAAGTCGTTCATATATGGACAAGTTTGATTCTGATAAAAATAATTAAATATAATTATACGTAATTATATCTATGAGATCGAGACGACCTCATATGTAACTGTATATAATTACATTATCTTGTTGCAATTAATAACCAGAGATATAACACTTGTTCGTATATGAGGGACTTTTTTTTCCTGGATCTTTGCTTTCTAGTCATTGTCACTGCGCGCCACACCAATGTGTGTTGCCACCTGCCGCTTGCGATCTTCTTTGATTGTGTCTAACAGAGAAAGAGTAAATTGAAGCGTTTTGTGCCATTTACGCGAACGTGAGAAAATAGAGATTTAATTATGCGAAGGCGAGAAAAATGATACCGCGCGTTTTACATTCCAAACGCGCTCAATGAGTTTAGAAAAGAAAAAAAAATAAGAAACGATTTAAGAAACGATTCTCAAACTTGACGATATTATAATATTAAAGAAAACTGGCGTATAAAGTGCTCGCTTATTTCTCATAAAAATAACGCTCGAGAGAAAGAAATAATCGCGGTGCATTTGTATGCGACACTCGGCTTTCATACAGTTGATGCGCTTCCGTGACGATAAATCTCGGTTGGCACTGAGAACAATCGCGTGCCATTCGAATCACGACACACCATGCGATATACTAAAACGCGATACCCGCTCGTACACATTTTTACAAGAGATATTGTAAAACGACCGACGAATATCTCGATTGGAAATATCTGACGAATTTTTGAATTGACGACTTGTCGGCGTCGTAATTAAAGCAAGACATTTTCATTTCAAACGAGTTCCTCTTCCCCCTCAGAAAACAATTTTGGGATAATGTAAATGTTAATCTGTTATGTGTTGAGATTTCTGCAAGCGGAATAATATAATTTGTAAGAGCAGAGCAAGCATGTGTTTGTCCATATTTGTGTCACTTTCTACATGTATTTATAAAATATCCTCTTTTAACACACAAAAACTTTAACAAACAAACTTAGAAAGTTTTTATATAATTATTTTATTTTGATATTTTTTTTCAGCACAGTAAATTCACAGTTGCGAGACTCTTTCCTGAAAATTGGCGAGATCTCGCGGTGGCGGAATCAATTCCGCCGAGGAAATAGAAATGTACTTCCCGAGTGCAGCGATGCGCGCGAAAAAAAGTCATGTAACAGTATCCGCTGTTACATTGTACCGTACTGAATCTATTATTTTTACGACGCGTCTGTGGAGCTTCTCCTCTCGTAATGCGCGTGGGGAAAGTAACGAATTCGCGGCTTATTCGCGGAAGTATCCGCTTATTAATGACAAAAAAACATATAGACAATATGCATATGATATCAAAATGAAATACATGCAAACGAGAATTTTATGTACAAAATAGTCCAACAGGAACGAGGGAAGTGAGTCAAGAGCATGACCGAGAACAATCGGTTCTCACGTGACCGTCTGACGAAATCACAACCGTTCAAACCGCGCTGCAACGATCAAATCGCGTTTCTTTTCATATGATACTTTCTCTGACGTAATCATTTCCTTGTAACTGTAATAAGTGTGTTTCATAGATTTCCTTCCTGTGACGAGTGTTGACGCATAGGTCGAGGAGCACGTCTCGTCATTACGAGACTTCAGATTTAGTGGCGAGTTATTAGCTTGGCGCAAAAATAATTGCGGCTCTCTTTTGTTATGTATTAAATAAAATTCTTTTTTGCTCATATACAAAACAAATCAAGATTATATATTTAATAATAATATCGTGAGATCGCAGAACTTTTGTCTCTGGACAGAAAAACTTTTAAGTAACATTCGCTTAGCGCGCAAATTATGCGTGTGTGTTTAATTCCACTTTATCCGTCAGAAACATTTTATAATGTAATAGATATTGCATTTTTCATACTTTTGTAGACTTTTCTTTCAATATTTTCTTCTTTATATTAGAATTGCTGGATCACCATAATTACGAGTACCGAACAGGTTTTTTTTTGTTGATGAGGCATGAGAGATATGCAAATTAATTTTCAGAAAATTAAACGATCTTTATCTACTCTGGTGGAACGAAAAGGCAATAATTATATACAGATCCTAATGTATATATATATATACAGCGATGGTTATAAGCCAAACACATACTGCGCCGAGGATATTACTTCCTCGAAAGTTGCTCACATAACTCGCATGTAACAGATATTTGATTAGCCGTGTTACCGGGCGCTATACGCGCGGATATGTATTCGGCGAAGTGCGCGCCGGTTCATTTAATTACGGTATCCCTACGTACCCTACAATCTTGATTGAGCGTGTAATTTCGCGGATGCGCGCGACACACGGTCGTGAAAGCAAGAACGTTTTTGCGCGATTTTGCTTAAATCGCAATTTATTCGCGATACTGTTGGTTTGCAATTACGAGTTGATTAAGAAACGCGTCAAATTATTAAAATTTAAAAAGAACGATCGATGAAACACGGAACACTCTTCGCGCATAACGTATCAATAAACGAGCGTGGGCAAAAGAACCGTAAACAGAATCAGTTGCGAAGAGCGGCCTTGGACGGATCACGTAATAAATGCGCGTGCGATTGATAACAAAGTGATTAGCAGATAAAAACAAAATAAAGCGTACATTGTTGTGGTGGTCACATTTTCGCTCTTTCTGTCTCTTTCTCGTGATTCACGAAACTCGCGTGACCACCGTTCAATATAACTGGTTCTCTATCGTTTTATTACCATCTTCGTCGAACATGTGAACATATCGACTGCGCTATATACGGCAACTTGCCGAGAAAGTTTTCAAGTGCCCTTTGCCGTGAGCGATCTTATGTTCCAAAAAACATGACCGTGACCATACTTTGCGTATTTTCGAGTTCAATGTGAGAGATGCTCGTCTTGCTCCATATAAAACACATTTATATATAACCTCTTGAAATTAATAACCATTATCGTGTGACGAATCACAAAAACACTCTATCACATATTTCACAATAGATAAAACCGCTCGAGTGTTTGTTTTTTTTTTTTTTTTTTCTAGAAAAGAAACGTTTTCTTAGACACTAGTGTTATCGGCGCTACAACAAGTGACTTTTCGTGATTCCTTATCAATTACTCATTATTCGTCATTAACAGCGAAAATAACAGCGATGTCGCATCACTCGTCCGATAACAGAAATTCGGCGTCACAATAAATTCTGGTTTTTGTTCAATTAAACCTCGCGACTTGCAACAAGTCGAAATAGTTGAGGGGGAAAAAACAGATAACGCACTTATACATAATTTATTAGTATAATATGTGCGTGAGTCTCGCGATATAATCAGCATTATTAAAAATAGATGACTTGCGCCCCGTTATAGCGCAATTAATCGAGTAGTCCGATCTTAGTTTGATAACCAATTATTATCCATGAGATATAATGTGCTCGCGGTAGATTTACGCGCTTGTTGAGAATTAAGATGTGGTAATTAACTTTAAGCCCGCACCTCGCGTGATACTTTTCTCGCTTTGCAGTCTTGTTTATTTTGAATTGTGTTGTTGTTGGCAATTTAATATAATATATATAAAGTACTATATTATATGATTTATATTTTTATATAAATGGCACATTTTAATACAAATGTGACATTTCTCTTAAGTTCCGAATATTTAAAGAAAGCATATAGAATTTGAAACAACACGTACGTGTACGCGAAAAAATTTTTTATTCCGATCGATGTAATTTGAGTCTCGAAAATACCGCAAATTTGCTGAATTACATTTGATATTACTCACGTATTCCGACGACGAGGTTTTCCACTAGCAAGCTCGAACCGTTCTGTCAACTACGATGAAGACACAAAAAAGAGAGAACAAGACACGATGCAATGACAGAGTTGCAGATCCGCTCGCGCGTCAATCACAGAAAAACGGTCGCGCGAATCAGCGGGACGAGTCCGATCGACGGCACTCGACAACTGTCTAACCGGCTGGACTACGAGAAGGTGGAACAGTATCAACCGACGTAGAGCACGGCTGCTTGTACGAATGCTTGGCGTCTTGAACGTGACGCCGGTCGTGTTTCGAAGGAAACCGCGCGTTGTATTTGCCCCTCTCCATCGCGCCCCGTCGTAGGTCTTCGTCCGCCGTAATCTTCTCTTCCGGGAGTCGTTCAGTTCTTTCTCATCGCGATCTCCATTGCCGCTTGCGATCGTCGCGCATCGAGTACGATTTTCAATCGATTCGATTCGATTCGCGCACGTCTTCGGAATTAATTTATTCCGTGCTATTTTTCATATCTTTGCCTTTCCTCGATCGAAAAAAAAGTTGCAGATCTCATCTACGTCAAAATTCGTCTTTGTATTTTCTTTGTAATTAATTGCATTTTCTCTTCTCTTCGCTGTTCAGCTGAAACTGCTGTGAAAATAAAAACAAGTCACACGATGATTGAAAGTCACCGATCAGAAGTCGATGCTCGCAACATGTTCGTTCACCGTTAAACAACTGAAAGTGCGAAAAATTGACGTTTATCTCCGAAGAATATCGCAGATGATCGCATACCGTTTCATTAATCATTGATGAAAGTCTTGTTCGACCGATTAGGCATCGTAACGCGTAAGACGATGAAGTCTCGATGTTTCGTTCTCTCACCTCGATATTTCTCCCGTCTTGTGTTCTAGCGCGTACATCGCAGATGCTCGTTAGAATTGCATCTTCAAATTAGCTTTCACCCATCCCTTATTCATTCTAATGTTGACGATCTTTCATCGATCAGCTCGAATCCCGCACAAATCGATTGCAGAGGATTTTTCAACAATAACTCAATCTCAAAGTGGAAATATTTAAGTCGATCGAACTAGGTTGCTGCATCAATCCGCTATTCTATCTTATTTCCCGCTACGCGTTCTCACGACATCCTTTTGATAGACGTTCCGTTTTTTTTCCCTTGTTGTTATCTCTGCTTCAATTTCGAAAAAATTACACGTTCACACGTTAATTGTGCCACGTAATGCGTATAATGGATGTTTACTATTGCGCAACGTCTTTCGGTATAATCGTGGTCTTTGTACACGTAATGAAAAGGTTTTGGAATAGCAGACTTTGCTACTTTCCATGCCGATATTGTGAGAACGAAACAGTGGATACGCGTTGACGATGAGATAATGTGCGAGATTTTTATTTGTAAAATAAATTATAATAATAATTCTTCACTTTTGTTTCGTGTCGTAAATTCGAAATGTCGTTGCGCTGTCAATAAGAAAATCTTATCGGAAATAACGACACGCTGCTGTCACAATAATAATCTCATTATTATTATTCTTATGTATCTTCTTTGAAATCTTTCCGTTCGGTGGCATTTACAATATATAATTTTTAAAGATCGCGCGAAACGGCGGATGTTGCGTTCATGGAAGCGTAGAAGCTCGGCCGATAAGCGAGATAACGTTTCTTCGCAACTCGACGTCACAGTCGGATAAGTCGCGGTTCAACGATGCGTGATAAGTACTCACATGCCACTTTTATTCCTCTCTCTCGTTGACATGAGCCGTGCTCGACGCGTGTACGTAGATAACGATCGTTGCTCGATCATACACATGGGCTAAGCTGCAGAAAGTGACTACTTGGTATTAATGACTTAGCCGCGAGAATCGAACGGTATCGATATCTCGACGCACGCAAGATTGATTCTGATAACGTTCGCAAAACGTTCTAAATGAATAGTATAGGGGTGTAATCAGAGAGAGTATTTTAGTGGAAAAATTTACTACTTCAAGTTTCTACTATTAACGTCATCGTAAAAGCGTATCTTTGCATTATCAAAAAGCTATTGAAGTGAAGAAACGATCATTGATTACAGCTGTACAATACAACAGTATTTGTTTATCAGTTCGAAGAAAAAGAATTCTTCTAGAAATAGAGATCTCGATGCGCTAAATTCGAATCTCGGAATTTCGCTATCAGAATTTCAAGAAATTGAGATAAAATAAAAATTCTAGAAAATGATTACCTTGGCAATATTTTCTTATTTTAAAAATAAACTAAAAATATTAATTTAAATATAAAAATTTTTTTAATATAAATTTTGATTTTTATCTTCTCCATTGTCAATTACAATGTTTGCTGATTAAAATGAGAGGTTTTATTCTTTATTCTGTGATAGTCCAATACATCTTATCTTATCTATATGTATGTCATGCGTCTGTCAGTATATTATGTGAATATTGTTGTAGAAAAAGTTGCTACTTTAACATTTTCATTGTTTAATAACAAAAGAATGTAACAATGACAAGCAAGAACTTATTTTAAAGAGCAAACATATACTTTACGAAAAGAAAATTGAAAATAAAATTTAGTTTATTCATCTTCTTTTATTTAAAGAGTAAACTAAAAATGTTAAATTTGTTGAAAGGTACTAAGACGTTGTAAGGACAAATTTAAAAAAGACAAAAATTAATAATTAAAGATCTTAATGTTTAAAATACCGATATATATTAAATTTTAAATATATGTATTAAATACCAGTATTCTTTTTTAGATATTAAATTAATATAAAAAGTAATTTTATTACTTTCTTTTACGCATTTCTATTATTATAATTAAATATAATATAATAATATAACGTTATAACTTGTTGATGCTATAGAACACTAATCGGCAAATGGTAATACAATTTCCAAAGAAGGAGTTTACATCATCGATATTGCACAAAGTAGATCACCTATTTATATAAATACTAAATTGTCGGATGTCGATGTATATAAAAATATATATTAGATACTAGTTTTTAATAAAAATAAACTTTATTTTGTTCAAATAAATTGCAAGAGTACTAATTCACAAGTACTTTATCATAAAAAAAATATTATATTAATGATACGTATATCGATTTTTCTAAATATTTTGTTAGAAATATTTCGTATTATTTGTATTAGACAGATGGAGCAAGCAGTTCATGAAACAGATGTATGAAACAGAAATCTATCTTATCATTAATCGAGAAATTATATTTCGCACGTATATAGATATGTATCTTGCTGTTTGAATATTATTACAAAAAACTATTAATTATAAAATATACAGTAGTATCTCCGTAAAAGGACATTGTTTATACTTTTATAAGCGGGAGCTGATTTCGGAACTGTTAAAATATCCACACGTGGAACATCATTTTATACAAAACCTCTAAATGATGTTTATTAGACGTCACATGAAGTTATAAACGTCCATTGGACTTATAATAGACATTATGTGGGAAGAGTCTGTAAATAGAGCTGACATATTATAACTGATTTTTTCCTCAGCGCAATCTAAAGCTAGTTTATTTAAAATTACAAACTAAAAATAACATTTTTTTGCGAGGATATACACACACACAGAGAGAGAGAGAGAGAGAGAGAGAGAGTATTAATCTTGATTAATACTGTGTTATAAATGTTTGGATTTTTTAAAGTATCAGTGATAAGAATTTAAAAGATTTCAAATATGTTTGAAAAAATCTCGAGATATGATAGATTATCATAAAAGTTGCTTTGTAACGATACGGTATAGATATCATCGACAGATGTATAACAGACTAAAATGCACTATAGGAAAACATTAATAATATCATAGACTACAAAGATTAGTTTTGCACTCTCTCTCTCTCTCTTCTTTCCTCTAGTTCTATAATGAAACGCGAACTAAATATTACGCAACCGTGTCATTAGACTCGTCCTTGTTATCCCGAGGTGTCATCCACGCTCGGCAAATATATTTAAGTTGAGCAAACGCATATCGTTAAATGCATTCGTTTGATCAAATAATCGCATGATATAACTCGCATCCATTAGCTTTCATTAAATATCATTAATCACGGTTATGAAAGTGACAGCTTCATTTAATAATTATCCGAAGCGGTATTGGGGGGATTGTAGTTTGGTAGTATGGCATGCTTTAAAGCCGGCAAACAACGGACGCCATTGTTCCCGGTATTAGAGATTTACAGCAAAGAAAGTTTGTTTACCCGTGTTATAAGAGCCCGTCCATTGTTCCGTCATTAATTTCAGTAATTATTCTTGAAAAGGTTGATCACTCACTTTATTTCCGCGTGCAATCGAACGTTATTAATAATTGCGACTTGTATTTTACAAGCAAAATATTTCTTGGTATTTCAAATTTTTGATTTCTATCGTCGATAAATTTTGTATATGTACACACTATATACTGGAATATAGCATCGCCGTGCTTATCAATCTCATTAGATACAGACCGCAGTTCTAAAACGAGTTCTTACTTTTGCATTATTTATTGCTTTTTCTAACGAGTTTTAATTAGCCAACGGTGTTACTACGTATTTAAATTCCTGTAAACAAATAACATTTGCAACATTGGTAAACATAATGTCGCAACATTTTATTAAAATCAATAAATTCCACTTGTTTTAATTTTATAAATAGATTTCAGAGTGTGACTATGACACAAAGACAAAAATGTTTAATTATGTTAAACTGTTTAAATATATTGATTGTTTTTGATACATGAGAATAATATAATGCTATAAAAGACAAAGAGAGAGAGACAGCATATTTGTCGTATGTTTATTTCAAGCACATTACTGTTACATACTAGTTACCCAATACAGTATGTAATTCGCTATTTATAAATCACTCTTGTTATTTTTAATTTGTTCGTTGTAACGTTAAAGAATTTTTTCTTTCGCGTGGAATTGAAAACCTTGGTTTTAACTTGTCTATGTATCGATGGCGTTGCGACCAGGCAAACATCTGTCTTTTGTTTGACTTCTGCTGTGGTCATCATAGATAAGATTGGAGAAGCGCAGCCATCTGCTGTGAAAATCAATTCTTTCTAGAAACCTGCTAATACGCGCGTAATATACTTGTATATTACGTTGTGTCAGGAAAATGTAGAAAAAAATAAAAACGGGTAATATTACTTATACCTTTACGTTTATCGGATTAAAAATAACACTTTTTTATTGTCTTATTTGTCTTATCTATCGTTCGAATTGTTTCTGAGCGATAATTTTAGACGGAGGTTTTTGCATATCTCTTTCTTTGTCTTTTTTTCTTTCTCTCACATTGAAATCACGGCGCATCATTCTGGCCGATTATTCATGATGCAAATCGCCGGTCTTTCTCGTACAGTTCGCAATCGTTTCGTCACAACGATACATCGAAGTTCATTGATCCCGCGAGTAAATTTAACTTAGGCCAGCAGCATTTAATTTCTCAGCTGGAGGTCAGTCTGTCTTTTTACGAATTCACATTGCGGGATGCAATAAGTCGACCACCCGCGGATTCGGCCGATCTGTACAAAGCGGGAAGTCCTCCTCCTGCTCGAATGTGCCGAGTCGAGTTCATCAATGATTGTCACCGCTAGACGTCGTTCGTTTCTATTTTTTTTTTTTTTTTGTTTCGTCGCGTTTAACGAATTGCCCGTCGTCGTGGTGATGTCGATTGGTACAAATACGTTTTTCCCAGAAAACGATGAGTCGTAAGTCGACATTAATTCGACATTGTACGTACATGTGTGTGTGTGTGTTCTTTCGTAATGAAATAATTTACACGACGCGTCCACCGCTCAGGCGCCGTCCATTGGTTCGAATAAGCTACGTGACACAGGACAATTTCAGGACGGTTTACCCTAAGGGCTTCTCAACTACGACGTCCCAGGGTTGGATCATCGGGGGGTAAATTAAAACGAAGACTTATGGAAATGCAAACATTCGTGCCGCCAATAAAGTTTCTCCTCTCCGTCAAAGACCTAAACCTTAAGGGTTACGAGTTAACGTCGATCAATGAAGTTGCGAGTCAAATTGCCGAGTTAATTGCATCTTTCCGTTCGAGGTGCGCCTGTTACGTTCGAGAATATCACCGATGACCGTTGTCAAATTAAATTGCACGGCAACGTCTTTGTTCAGTTTATTATTCAGCAGTTGGAATAGAAGTATCTATTGCCGTTGGACGGAAAAATGGCAATTTTACCCAATCGGAAATCTCTTGGTGTTTTATTGTTTTCGTAGCATCGCCTAAGATTTGAGAAAACCTAACTTCGAGAAAATCAGAGAAAAATTCTACGTGACAATAATAGCGTAATTCTTCAACTCGTCATCTTCAATCATACGCCAACGTGCGATTGTTTCGAGAACTCTCGTGGTTGCTCGAGGTTTGTGCTCGTTGGCCGGACGTGTCCTCGTTGAAGACCAAGGAAGAAAATAATTGGACATAAATCCACCCCGGTGGCCGATTCGAGGTGGTCATTATGCGGGTTGGAGCGTACCTTGGCTCGAGTGCAACGCAAATATAGGCTACCACTTCGTACGCGCGCGCACACACACAACCATACACGCTAAATATTACGTGAAATATACGAGAGACGATAAGTAGAGGCCGTGATAAGTATTGAATAATACAAAGACGATTTTTCTTATGTAATTGTTGATGTCCAGCGTGAAGAAAACTGTTGAAGATAAATTATTATTGC